TTTGCTGGTTTTCATGACAATACCAAATACCCTAACTCCTTGATATTCTCTAACAGCCTAATTGAGAAAGGAATATGAAAAAGAATAGATACATGTATATATTACTTTGTTCCATACCCAAAATTAAAAAGGACATTGTTAATCAACTGAACTCCAACATGAAATAAAAAGTTAAAAAGAGTTTGCTGCTTTCTTCTGTTTGTTTTCAAAGGGACACAGTAACTCTAAAGCAGGCGTAAATCTACTTGGCTAAATAAGGAACAACTAAAACAAACAAACAAAAAGGAACAACTGAATCTGAATCTTACAGGCAAATTGGGGGACAAAAAAGAAACTAAAGCGTGATTGGCTTATTCTAAAATGAAACCATTCTTAGCAGAGGGTAAAAAAAAAAGAATGCAAATAAATGAAATGTGTTTTCTAAGACATCAAGATGCGCCCTATCACCAAATATATTCAAGAAGGGAGTAGAAGAAACAGAGATACTGCTTCCTGTCAGAGGACCACAGCAACGCACTAGTGTCAGATACCATGCTCGCGCGCACTCAAACAGGAAAGTTGCAGTAGGTGTTGGAATAAACAGGGTTTGACAGTCAACACATACATACCTGGAACCTTCGTAAGATGAAGCAATGTGGTTAAATAACATGGCATGAAATTCTAAACCTGAGGGGCTGCATTTCTATACTATAGAACCCAATTACGGCATAAGAATTCATGGCAACAGATTAACAAAAATCTCAACATGAAGTTCTCCAAATTAGCAGACGCTTAAACAAACCCCACGAGGTTCACTTAAAAGACAGGAGTGCCAATTCACAGCAGTATAGTCCCAAACTAGAAAACGGTAAGCACTTTCTCATGAAAAAGCCAAACATGTGCACCGAACACATAAATCACTACATGTTTTCAAGTAAGAAAGTTAGTCTAGTCTTACCTGATGGCTGCCAAAGGCTGGAATAAAAACTACTGACTTAAGAGATGCAACTTTCACATGTATCCGAAACATCAAACACAACACACAATATAAAATCAAAAATAACTAGAACAGAAAACTCTTCAGTCTGACCTTAAAAATACTGAGCAAATCACTAGATGAAGCCAGATCAAAAGGAAGGGCATTACACCAGCTTGGAGCCATATGTGAAGGGGCCCCAAAAGCCCAGGGCACAGATGGTTTACCATGGAGAGGAGGGGGCACAGGCAGACCCAAGAAATCAGGCAAATAAACCTGCTTCAACTTATACAGGTAATACAGTTCAAAAGAATGAATAATTTTGAACGCAGACTGATAAGATTTTAGATTTGGGACAAATGGTGCTGGAGGTCCCAAGCTAAAGTGTGCCCACTAGTTTAAGCTCTGAGGTCCTTTTATGTAACAATTTCAATGAAGCTGAAATCTCAAATGAGGAAGACATGCAAAGGAACGGTGACGTGTTAATAACTAATTACTGAGAAGACAGTTAAAATCTTTTGGAAAAACCATACAATGGCGGCCTGCCATATTACCTGATTAAGGGCTAAGAAATGCACCAAAGCTAATAGCTTTATTTGAAAATTTAAAAACCCTATAACCTAATTAAAATGTTCAACATCCTTTAATATTCCCCACTCTTCACTAATATAAATTGCTAAAAATAAAATTTTCACCTGCTAATAAACCTTTATTAAAAGTCAATTCTTTGTAAAAAAAAAAAAAAAAAGTTCTACATAAAACTCAGAAATGCTCATATTTACCTCATTCTTGTTTCTCTCATGTAAAGTTGCCAGGTTAGTAAATCTCAAACACTTCCAAAATAAAAGTTTCAGAAAAATTCTCTGACTTTAACATGAGAAGTTGAAACTGTCATGAAGAAATCATGCACTTTGTTAAATGAGTTGATCACTTTTTTCAGGAAACAACCAAAACAAAAACATTTAAGACAGATTTCTTCAACCTCATGACTTCTGAAGGACACAATAGAATATCCAAAAGGCTATTTTATTGGATATTCTAGTAAGGTACATTCAAAACACACACACATATACAATGGGATTCTCAATTGTAGTAGCAATGATGAACAAAATAATACTGACTTTTTGATGGCTGTCACTTATCATTAACATGGTTTAAGGTACACTTACGTGATTTTTTATTTGATACTCTTATGTTTCAAAGAATCCTTCCAGTTTAGTAACAGCTTTGCTAAGCTGTGTCTAGGAATGACAATTAATTTTAGTGGAAATTCATTCACGGGCTTCTTTGATAGTCATTCGAACAGTTTTGCGTTATTTTACATGCAATTTTATAGCTCTATAACGTTCATTTAATCTTGTTCAATGATGCTGAACCCCAGATGCCATAAGACATTATAGAAAAGTAGTTACTGCACATATGGGGTAACTACTTTTTCTGAACATTAATTTCTTTTCTCTTAACAGGCTGAAATGGTATTTAGAAAAGAGAAAGGCCTACCACTCTGTACTAAAGGTTTTATATTATGGACTTCCGGAGATGTGCTACTTATTACTACTTGTGGTGCTAGCCATAAAGTTGTTATTTACGAGCATCATCTTTTCAAGTCTAAGTAATAATGGCTTTCTCCAGGCTTCAGAAGGTTGTTGGTATTACACAATGGAATCAGGTCACTTGAGAGCTTGGGGGGTAGGGGGTGGGATGCTCTCCTCGTTTGTCATCTCTAGGGATTGGATATAATCAGGGATTCACAAAGTGGGGGTCTAAGGAATACCCATACCAGAACTACTGGGGCACTTGCTAAAAAGGCTGGTATCTGAATCTGAAACTCTTAGGTCTGAGGTCGAGAAAGGAAGCACCCCAGTAGTTCTTCTAGAAGCTAAGGGACAAGAAGCCCTGGGAGATGATCTCAAAGGTCCCTTCCACCCTAAAATTCTAAGAGTCTGTGAGTTTTCTAAGAGTCAAGTTGCATCAGCAAGATCTACAAGACAGTGACTTTGAGCCTCAGTGGGTTAACCTAAATAAGAAGTAGTTAGATTTTGATGCATACGTAAAAGCAGAAAACAAAACCAGAGTAGTATCATCAAATGTGTGAAATGTGTATCATCTGTTTGGGCTTTTTTTCCTCATGGGAAATGCAGAGGAACAGCCCACTCTTACTTGCTACACAGGAGATGAGTTTCAAGGAGCTTTTCACTGCACTCCCATCCCTAACCTTTTCCTCCTCACCTTTGGACTCCTCTCTGCTGTTGAGGCAGCTCTCCAGGCATTTACAATCCTGAGTCACCGAACTCTCTTGTAATCGGTCTGAATATCCTCTATTAGGAAATAAAGCATCTACAGGCAGTCCTCTACTTTCATTTGTAGTGAGTGGAATGTGCTAGAAACATCAATACAGGGAAGGTGAACAGCAGACTTGCACTTTTAAAGTGGAGTTTCAAATCTAGAAAGCGAACACAAACAAAAGAATCCAACTCTAATTTCACTTCTCCCCTTGGACACAGTATTTGCCCAATGTGATGAAATATTTCTGGTATTTCTTATATGTTGGTTTATTTCATTCCTTCTCTTCCTAACTGCTTAAAGGCTCAATGAGAGCCTAAAATTTGAGATTTTTTTTAAACCACATCTGGAGTGTTCTATCTTTGACACAGTTTCATTAGGTGTAGGGGAACTAAACGTCTACTGGTAGCGTCTCATCGAAGTTTTATAAAACCACAAGAGCAATAGGCAGTAGAATCTTAACGTAATTACACAGAGCTGAATACACTATGCTGCTGAGCCAGGACCGTTGGCTGGAAGGCAGCGCCACCATGTGATCGATCTAAATGTTGTCCGTTTCATCTAAGTACAAAAGTTGGGATCCTCTTGGAGTTGGGCATCTTATAGAAAAGTCCCACCTCCTGGAATAATAAAGTTATCTTAGAACACCACACCGTGACACTGCTTCAGGAGAGGACGAGAGCTGTTTATAACAAGGGCAGCTGACTATGTATGTGTGTATCATTGGCCAGACTGGATCAGACATTTAGTGCACAATTAGGGTGACTTGCTTTGGGGTTAGAGGGTGTTCTCTGTTTAAGGAAACTTCGACTGGGATTTAGCCCTCAGACTTCAATGCTCAGCTGCATCACAATGGCTAGTCCCCTGTCCTTTCACAAAAGACAATCTTTGTTGCTAGAGTATACATTATGTCAAGTGGATCCAATAATAAAGTTTCTTTCAAGTATAAAGTCTTTTGTGACCGTATGTAGGATGTAGACATCAGCTAAATTCAAGAGAGTGGAGAAGATCAAAGTCAAGTTAAACTCAAAAGTTTACCAGAACTATGTTTTCCTTTCCATATTTTTCTCCGTCAACTACATCCTGAATTTAATAGGTACATGATATTAAATGGACATGTTCTCTGTAAACTACACCCTCACTTTAGAAATGCAGAAAAGGTGGAGGAGGGAGGGGGAAATATCAAAATGGAGTAAGTCAGCATTCAGAAAGCACTTACAAAAGAAAGCCGAAACACAGACAAGTCACTTTCAACAGGTATTATCCGTCCTCCGTTGAACAGCAGGGACTGTGGATGATTCTACACAGAGTCCAGGCTACACCTGCAGACACCTGGCTGAAAGCCACGCGGCTTCTGCCGGGACTGCCCATTCTCCCCAGCCGCGGCCAAGGAGGGGACACGACCCTAACACAAAGGTCACATGCCCCCCAAGACAGTTCCTTGGACCTCAAAAGAGTATTAGCTTCTTTAATCCAAAAAGGTAATGAGAGGTTTTTAAACTGATTAAATCAGCTTAGTTCATACACTGTCCCTTATGAGCTAAATATTCAATTAAAACAATTTCCAAAGCAAAATCTGACAAAATCCTCTCTCAGAGTAATTTAGATGATAGGTTCTTAACTTAGGCAAATTAAATCCTTCTCACGGTTGGTATTTTCCAGAGTCAGAAAGAGTTGCACAAGTTCTCTGGGACAGAAAAATCTACTTTGTGTGTTAAGCCATGTTTCATGATCATAAACAATAGAAACTAGAAAACATTAATGGGAGCCTGACATTCCTGTTCCTTTTATTTTTTTTCTTCAAAAGCTACGTACATGCAAAACTTGAACATGTCATCACAATGTCTTAAATAAAGTTCAAAAATAAAAATACTGCATAATCCATTTACTTAAGGAAATATATATGACAATTATAAAGAAGGTAAGTCAATTATAACCTTTCTTCTAATCTATCAGGAAAAATACTTATATTATAAAAGAGAATTTAATTTAAACTCATGCCCAGAGTATTTTTTTCAATTCTTGATCAATAATTTAAAAACAAGTTGGATGTTGGTACAATGTTTAAAAAGAACAAGTTCCAGGCTTTTGAAAATGGGTCTCATATCCTTATACCTCATTTTGAAATCAGTGGAGAAACTCAAGTTTAGAAACAAAGCATTAAAAAAAAAGCCATGATCATTTTTTTATTATGGTTGATGTGGTTAGTAATGCAAGTGAAGGGTACAGTGACTGTAAAGAGATGTTGTTTGAAGTCCTTTAAAGTGTTTGAATGGAGAATTTTATTTACAAACTCAGGCTGGGGGTTGGAAGAAGCCTCGCCTCTCTCTGCTGGTCAATAATGCAAGAGGAATTACAAATCCTGGGTGAAAGGAAATTCGGAGTGCACCACCCTTCTGTGAGATGTATAAGCATGCCCTAGCTCCCCTGACTCCAGAAAAAAGCTGGCAGGAGGCAGCCTTTCTAAACGGCCCTGCCTTTTTCAGGAGGCCTGAAAGAGTGCGGGGAGGGAAACTGGAACATTCTGCGTGTTCCAGAGGGTGGTCATTTCCTTCTATTAAAACTGGTATTTATTTGGTAACATAACACGATGTATCTCAACAATTCCAAAAATAATGTGAACAAAATGCATTCAGAGTTCAACTTTGTCAATGTTCACATTCATCTTGGAAATGAGATTTAACTTCTGCTCCTAAATGAAAAAGGCAGGGGAAAGTTGCCCAGGCTAGAGGATGATTGATTATTGGAAACGACACACAACATGAGCAGGAAAATGGGATCATTTAATAAAATGTGTCTGAATTGATCTGGAAAGCCCTAAATGGGTACAAACACCCAAAATTCAGAAGAAGGTTAGTTCAAGCAATTAAAATATCACCTTCTCTTTAAATCAGAAATTACAAGGTTTCCTATTGAGACAAATCCTTTGCTACCACTCTGAGCCTTCTTTAGAAAAGGCCAAATTGAAATTCTGGTTGGAAAATACTTCCACAGAAGGTCCGAAGATTTACAGTGTGATATATATCCTGATATTCAACTGTGATTATAGTTTTCATGTTTGGCAACCCAACTATTATTTTCCTTTCATTTCTAACAATAAAAAAAATTATTAAAAAGAAAAAATAAAAGGTGTGGGTGCTGTCAGTGCAAAATCAGATTAAGTAAGGTTTTTCTTTTCCCTGGGATAGAAAAAAAAAAAAAAATGCCCAGTGCAGAGTATGTAGGAATGTGTCACAACAAATAATCAAAAGACAGGTTTCACCAAGCTAGTGTTCCTGGGAGGACAGTGTGGTTTTCAAAAGCAGTATTGTCACGATTATGCATATTCTCATTAACTAGGTACAGCACAGCTACTTAAAGGGAAACCGATTTCTTATGCCTCAATGAAAGGGGAGTAGAGAAAACAATAATTAGACTGAATGAGGAATTTAAAAGAGAAAAAAAAAAACTGGAGAGAAAAGAACAGAGAATTCATAAAGCCAAAAATAAAAAGAAAGAAAAGCAAGTAATGTGACAGTAAAAACCCACACAACCTCCCCCCACCCCACCTGCCACTTTGAGTCCTAATCGCTCAATCTGCAGGGGCAGAAACCCACTCTAAATGAACCAGCAGCGGGCTCCAGCAGGTCTTCTCTTCACTCTCCCTCCTGTTAAGACCGTTTCCAAAACCAATCAGCAAAGGACAAAGAATTCTTTACAGAGTGCAATTAGTGTTTTCCACGTCCACCTTCAAAAGCATGATGCTCTTCATGGGCTAAAGGACAGAAAAAAAACAAAAAAGAAAAAAAGGAAAGAAAACTTTAAGCAAAGGATGGGGCAACCCTCCTCTAAGGCATCTCATTCAGTTTCCCCAAATGTTGGCAAGAACTCAAACACCTTTGTGTGCCAGTAACTGTTAGCTAAGGCGTGCATTTCCTGAGAAACGTAATAATGAAAATTAAAACAGGGAATAAACAAGCAACGGGCATGCTGCCTGTTTCTTCTTGCTGGGCCGGGGAGGATGAGTAATCCTGACAAGCTGATGAGGAGGATATGCCGGGCTGTGAGCAAATGCTGCAGGGAAAACGGGGCCCCCACAGGATGCTGGGCTGGGGGTGGGGGGTGCCTCACAGAACCCAGACAGGGCCATTCACAAACCTATCTCAAAAAACCAAACCAAATAAAAAGTGAAACAAAACAGAACAACACAAGGGGGGAGCAATTCTCATAGGTCCTCCCCCACCTCTAAACACTCTCTGTGGGGGAATGAGGTGTGATTAAAGGGATGGGCCTTTTATTTTTCCCAGTTATAGTTTTTGTTTTTTCCTTTTTTTTTCCCCAGCCCTAAGGGTCTGGCTTGCAAAATGACAATAATTACAAATAGGAACCCTAGAATAAAAAATGATGCGACCAAAAATATTTTCCAAAGACTTACATTTTTATAAACTGGAAGTGGGAACTAGGAGGCCTGTGAAAGATAGAATATGTAAAGGCCAAGTTTGAAATTCTATTTTCTAGACCTGGTTCAACCATTATCATGAAGCGAGCGCGGATCGTCTTCTCTCAAGAGGAAACGTTACTGTGACAGGTCGGACACGGCCAAGGGCCACTCAGGATTCCCCAGGCTCTGTTCCAGCAACTCTTCCCTGCGAGGAAGGGAGTCCTGGGAAGGCAGACACGGGCTGGCCCATTTTACCTCCTAAGCCTCTCCTAAGACTGTATTTTTCAGATCTAGATTCTTCAGACTAGTGTGGTGTGAGGCAGGGAATAGGATCATTTTCCCTTCAGGGTTATCCTGGTTGTTCACCTAAACCCGGTCTTCACTTGGATGAAACACTGGGAGAGGCACCCTTTATAGCTCTGAGGGCTACCTCAGGTTGACCCAATTCCTATGAGCATCCAGGAATCTGAGCTGATGTAACTGAACATTTCTCATATGCAGAACTTTAGAAATATTTCACTTTTTATGTTTTTTTTTAATTCTTTTTAAGAAAGACTTTTAGGATAGACATTAAAGAAAATATGGCCTGCTCTGCAATAAAATATATCGTTACTGCTGTATCAAGGTGGGGAGCCACAGGTCTCTTAGCGACGCTGGGCACCAAACGATTAAGTCAGGAGAAAGGGACTGTCTGCAGATTTTTATTACTCCTAAGTGTGAGGGACAGCTTGGGGCAGTCACCATTGAGACAGTGACATCCTGATGGGTTATGAAGACAGAACAGAACAATCAGAATGGCGGGGGGGTGCATTCTGAGAAACAGAGAAAGTTCTGCGGGCCTTCGGTGAGCTTTGGCTGAAAGGGAATATAGAAAAGCTCAAAGCCAGGAATCAGTAAACTTCTTTCTGGAAGAGGGCAGAGAATACACATCTTGGGCTCTGTGGGTCACAGGGTCTCTGTCTCAACTATTAACTCTGCCCTTGTAACATGAAAGCAGCCACAGATGATATGTACGCAAATGGGCATTGCTAGGTGCCAACACGCTTTGTATATACATATACATATGTATATGAAATGTGGATTTCATAGAACGTTCATATGTTACAAAATGTAGTTCTTCTTTTGATTCTTTTTTCCAACCAGTGAGAAATGTGAAAGCCATTCTCAGCTGCAGCCCATACAAAAACAGGTGGGAAGGTGGCAGATTTGGTTTGACAGTGCAGTTTGCCAACCTTGGCTCTAAACAATTCTCACATCAGAAGACATTTGTCATTCAGCTGCGCTGAAGAACCTAACAGAATTTGGGGGCTGGCGGGGGAGGAGGTCTCTCTTCATTTCAGTTTCTTAGTCAAATGACCAATCTGTATCCAATGCACAGAGAACTTTTATCAAAAGCCTGACTTTCAGCCACCCGGCTGGAGGCCTGGCCCAAATTCATTAGGTTTCTTTGTTCACAGAAAATCTACCACTTCAAGTGGCTCCTAAATACTAACACCAGGATCCTACTTTAACAAAACAGAGGAAAGGCGTGGAGTTGGCTGTTTGTGATCTGGCTCACCCGATCACTGTTCTTCACCCAGCTATGAAGAACATTTCTGCCCAAACTTCCTTTTTCCAAATCAATTCTGCAGTGGATGGTGTATAACTCTACTGAGTAAAGGACTGCCTGCTTCATATAAAAAAAGAGAACTGCTTGTTTTTTCCAATTCCAATTTGAATAATCTTTGAATTTTTGAATGATAATTTATACTATTAAAATATGCATTTCTACTAAGACCCATAGCCTAAGTCACAAATTTCACAATGGTGTCTACACTTAAGAGAGTCTGTTCTGGGAGCTGCATGTTCCTCTCTGTTTGGCCTTTTTCTCCCCCCTGCTCCCCAGTCATTGCAACATCGAAGTGATGACTCACCCTTGCACTATCTTACCTGGATTATTGTCACTGCCCTGAAAACTTGCCTAACCACTGATGGCCCAATTACCTCTGTGGCCTACACACTTCTATCACATTGAGTCTGCTGCTAACTGACAGCAGGTTAGCTAGAATTATTATTTTTTTTTTTAGCTAGAAATTTAATCATAGAATTTTGAAGCAGAAGGGACCTTGGAGATCATTTAAGACCAACCTCCTCAATATTAAGAAGGGAAAGTGAAAGGATGAGCGAATGTGACTTGCTTGAGGTCATGGTGTTGAAATGGGACGAAAATCCATAGTGCCTGACTTCACAATTCCAAATCACTTTTCTCCTCTTTGAAGTGATATGGGGAGCTGCATCTAAGACCGCATTTGCTCCATTCATAAATGGCAGTGAAACACACTTCCTTTCGGAGAGTTTCTGCTGGAGTTAGTCTCAGGGAGTAGAAAAAAAAAAAAAGACCTTTGGTGGCCTTTCAGTTAATGTTTGGGTTGAAAATACAATGAATGTCCCCTGAGGAATCCAATGTCCCCTAAGGAATCCTGTTGTGCTATAGTCCGTGGGGTCGCAAAGAGTTGGACATGACTGAGCGACTAAACTGAACTGAAGGAATCCAAATTGCATCTACAAATATGTGATTTCCATGCTGCACAATCAGTTAAGCAACTTGTGTAGTGCCATCTTCTATCTCTTCTATATAAACTTCCATTTAAAATTCAGAAGCTAAACACCTTCTGGATATCTGCAGCAGATCTGTCCCACAGCTTACAACCTAAATCACTGGGCTTGTGATTATATGATTCCTAAGAGGGAGGCCTTAGATTCATCCCATAGTAAGACACTGACAAAACAAATTTTGATTTTTTTCTTCCTCTTTTTGATAAGGGGTTGGGAAAAGTGAAACGGCCATGGAGTATACTTCATTAATTCTAAGATGCACTTCCTCCCCACCTCCCCACTGCACATTTGAAGACCACTGGAATTAAGACTGTGTCACAGTTAAATTAGGAGCCTTTTATTTTTCTTTCTTAGTAATACTAAAATAATACTTATCATCAAAGGCATCTTAGATTCAATGAAACACCATGGTTGAAAAAAATTGGGTTACTGACTCTTGGAATAGTTTGGGAAAACAGGAAATTCATCATATATATGCAGGACTGTCAATTCTTTCCTCTAATTGTTAAAACTATAACCTGCAGTTTGATCTACTAAACATTGGTTTAAGAGCACTAAGCTGTTTTCACTATGAAAAAGATGACTTTTTCAAAAGAGCACACAAAAGCAATGAACATGAATCATGATGGAAACAATGGGTCCACACACCTATTCATACTGTTAACATTTCACCACTATGCGTGCATTCTCCTCTGTGTCACACTCATCTGTAATGAGGACGTATTAGCATTTCAGTAGAACGTTCAATCATGCCTGTGCTCAGAATAAGTTCCTCCACAAATACAGATGTTACACATTATAAATCCCTGTTTATGAAGGGATGATTGAAAATCTACCTGCCAACTCGTATAATAACTTTTTTGTTATTGTTGCTTCAAATAGAAGGCAATTTTTTCTAAGAATGACAAGTCTGAGATTAGGTTTAAATTTTTGAAATAACAAAAACAATAATGTATCTCTTTTTTTATGATACATGTGTTTAGATGACAATAAAATCTCATTTTAACTTCTAAGGCTAAACTGTTGTTTTAGACCCATAAATGTATTTTATTGCACTATTTAGTGGATCATAGAATTTCAAGTGACTCTCCCTTCACCTCTTTGGCAACACAGTTTCTGTCTTTAAAAGTATGAAAGAATAAGCTAGAAAGTAGTAACTGGAAATGAAGCACTTACGTTTATAAAATACGGCTTTAAAAGATATGTGGGGCAGGAGTTCATAGATCTTTTCTAAAACGGTGGCTTCACCGACTAATGCGGCATTTACATTCCAGACTTGGACGACATCTTCTCGGTCCCGGACGCTGACACTAACTCCTATTACTTCATCATCTGAAGGGAAGGCAGGGGAAAAAAAGAAATGAGTGATCGTTTCAAGTCCTCCCGAGTTGGCTTTTTAACACTTATCATTTTACTGGTAGGTTATGAAGATGATCAAAAGAAGGTGGCACTAGAGAACTCATGATAAATACTAAGGGACCATCATTGGGCAAAAGCAAGTTAGTGGGCTAAAGCTGTAGTGCTCCCATCACATTTATCCAGGGACTTAGATAAACAGAGTGTCCCGGCCAAACAAACTTTCCAGATAAGTAATTTGCCCTTTTTAACATGTTACCGAAGCCTTGGACTATTTGGAACTCTGTTTTGATGAGACTTTTTCTAAAACAAGTTGCATAATGTTCGGCTCTCTGAAAGCCAAGTGAACTCACATGAACTGTTCCTCGATGCTTGGCTGTCCTTGTTAAGAACGGCAAGTATTTCTCCTGACTTCCTGCCAACCATTCAGAGATCTTGGGGTGGCTAGTGCTCTGGGCCCCAACACTAACTAGACCCAGACTGTGTGTTCCGAGTTGCTCATTCTGCTTTCTGTGGTTTGCTTGTCTGCTCCTGTCCTGTTAATCCTCCCAGCTCTCTCCTGCTTCTCCCTAGCCATACCCCTTCTGGTCTGGGCATTTTAACTGTGGGCTGGAGAATCAATGACCATCTGTTAGCACTGTGTATAAAGTAAAAGCAAATATCTCCTAAGTGTGGCTCTGTTATTACAGCACTTCAGTGAATGGGCAGGGAAGTATGTATCTACTTTGATTAATGTAGGTCTTTTTTTTTTTTAAAGACTGAATTCCAGATTTGGGGCTGTTTGGTAGGTATTTGAGAACTGGTGCCTGGATAAATAAGGCTATGTACTGTCCTATGGAGCCACTCTATACATAGTAATTCGCAGCAAAATGACAGGAGTAAAGACTCTTGACTCCAGATTCACGTGTTGGCTGCACATTACTGAAATAGGCTCACCCCTCTGCCCCTGCACAAGCATCAACGAGTTAGATGTGAATGATGAGCATCACTGAAGTTAAGAAACTGTGCTGCAGTTAATACGTTTTGCCTAATTCTCCTCATTTATGGTAAATCTGTACATCTTAATATTTACATTGCCAGATTTTCTGTGTGTCTTCTGGGGATTAAAAGGTTCCAGCACTTAGATACACTATAAATGAGGGCCTGTCCAATTACCACAGGGGTTCATCTTCAACAAAATAATTGTTTTCTTTTCTCCGTCCTTCCCTTCTTGTCTTCATTCTCTCTTTCCCTTTCCTTTTAAAATAAATTTCACTCTGGGCTAAATATGTGTGATGTGATACTAAATAATTCCCTGTATAGAAATGTGTGAAAGCAGGCAAAATCAGTGGGAGGTGTCAGAATTTAGGCTAGTAGCCACCTTGTGGGGGAGGCAGGGTGTGGAGAGATTCTGGAGGGCCATGGACATTCTCTTCCTTGATGTAGATGCCAGTTATGGGGATTTGTTTACTTTGGGAATGTTTATCAAACTACGCACAGTATAGTTTGTGTCCTTCTCTGTATACATGTCACAACTTAACAAAAATTCCCCCCCAAAGTAAACAGTACCTGATCATGGCCATCCACGGAAACTCATTAGCCCATCAAGAAATGTGTCTTATGTACAGGTCTCTTATTTTTCCTTTAATCTTCAAAGTATATTTGCTAGAGCTCAATGTTAAATTTTATGTGAACATAAAATCAGCAAGCAAAGAGGAAAGATTCCATATTGACCACTGTCAAGAATCGTCATGAATCTCAGCCAGGAGAAGATTAGCATTTTCTCATCTTGTGGTTTTGCCCATCTCTACACCATTGGCCAAAGGATGCTGGAACAGATTGGTGCTGAAAACGCTAAACTGTCGGTGTTTCAGCGTGGCCTGGTTTTTGGTACCTTGGTGTAGCCTCCTAGCACAGCACTTTCAGAAGGGCATGACAAGAAGGCTGCAGCCTGTATGCAAAAGAAGATCCATCGGCCAGTATGGAATATTCACAAGTAGCATCAAGCAGCGAGGCCCTGAGGATTCTAGGATACTGGCAGCGCAAGACGTCAGAGCTAGGAGGAGCCGCTGTATGCAGATGAGGGAAGGCAGGACCAGAGACGCGAGCTGCCCTGCCGCAGTGCGGAGCTGGGTTAATGAGGAGCCAGCGGTTAATAGCTAACGGTGCTCTCGTTCCGATGTCACCACAGAACAATACATCTCCCTTTGCTCAATCCTGGCTATTTATTATTACTTAGACTATTTTCCGTGGTTCTGGAAATGGGAATAATTCATACAGAAAACTTCCTCTCCCAGGGATGTATGTGTTTATAATTAACAACAAGACACAGTTTCTTGGCTACATATTGTAAAGATGCTAATTACCCCCTATTAAAACAGAAGGGATCTGGACTTTTAAGACGAGATCCTGTTAACCCAGGTTCTGTCTTCAGTGAAAAAAAAAGAAGTGTAACAATTTAGGAAAACAAAAGTAGGATGATGAAACAGTCAGTGAGGTAAACCTGAAACCCGCGTGGAACTGGCTAAGCCTAGGAGGGTTCCCAAAGGCAGCACCATTTAAGAAGTCTGAGGGCAAATCAATCAATATCAATTAGCTTTAAAAAAAATTGTAACTGAAAGCTGAACAGGTAAAATGTTATTTTAAATGTTACCTCAGAAGCATTCAAAAAGAACTACCCAAGAAGAAAGCAAATTTGTAAACTAGCAATTCAATTTACCTCTTTGAGTGGTTTCATGACAAAAATCACAGCAAAATAAAAATGGGGAAAGGAATTGAGAGGTACAAACTATTAGGTAAAAAACGAGCTGCGGGGCTGTTGTGCAGCTGGGGAATAGAGTCAGTATTCTGTAATGACTATAGAGGGAGTATATAACTTTTACAAACTGTGACTCTAGGACTATGTTGGGCACATGTTAACTTATGCATTTTGTACATCAGCTATACTTTGATTTAAAAATGTAAAATAGAAATGTATTCACAGGGCTCTCAGAAACTCATTCAGTATTTGAAAATGGTGTGTAAAGTCCTGAAGACTTTACATTTTAACCTCAGTTGTGGGATCACAGGCACTAACGGTGATTCAGCCCCACCTCCCCTGCGTGGCTCATTCTGAGGAGAGGGATGAAGAGAAGGACAGACAGCAAGGGCGAGGGATTGAGACAGACAGAAAGCATTGTGCCAACTTAACTACAAACTTCGGTAGACAACAAACGTACCTGCCTCTGCTGGAAGGGTTGGAATGGATAAAGGAAACCTACCACCAATTGCGTTAGGAGTCAATGTCAAATTTCATTTTCTTCTGGGACAAATACAATATTGTATGCCAATTATACTTTGATTTAAAAAATAATTTTTTTTTCCTTTTTTCCTGCCTGTTTATCTTAGACAGATGGTCATGGATACTATGAAGACGAGCTATATATGCAAAAAATATATAAATATATAAGCATACACACATATGTATATGCACATAATATACAAATATGTAAATATACATATGTACCTACACATATAACACTGGAATGCCATGGTCACATGGGAAAAAGCTAAGTAAACGTCACAGTGACAAAATAAACGACCCTGAGATATGAAAAGCCAAACACACGGAAACAAACGTCAGCAAGGAACAAGCCAAGCGCACGCAAGCGGGGATGACCAGAGCTGAGCGCATCATTACCTGCGGCGGCACAATCTGTGAACTGTTCCCCGATAGTCGCTAACAACAACTCTTTCCAAACTGTGGACTGGTGTGGGAAGAGAATAAAAAACACGACAGAACCAAAGAAAAGAAACACATACACGTTTTTAAACCATTATCTTCAGGAGCTACACAGGTCACTTTTTCTTTCAGTTCTTACGCCCTACCCACGCCTGTATCGCGGGTCCACAGATGTGGCTGAGTCACGGGTGTGAACACTCGCGTGGTGGCACAGATCATACTGTTTTACACATCACTTTGCACAGAAAGACACAAGGGATCCCACATCACAAACTCTGTGTCCACGGAACTGTAGGTTTAACGTGGCAAAGCTGATCTTGAGTGCCACCTGGGATGAATTTGAGAAGAATGTGGGAAAAATGCATTCAAATGACCTACGATTTTCTGATCTCTTTATCTCTCACGGATTCAAAATGTATCAGCTGGTTGTAAGTGAATGCTATTAGTAAAATCCTCCTCAAAAAAACCTTTTCTGTTTTTCTTGAAGTTTATAAGGCACTTTTAAGGTTACACAAGTGAAGAACACTTAAGGAAATTTCTGGTTTATTGAGGGCCAGAGACTTGCAGATTTCTGTTCACTTGAAGGCATTCTGTTTCTCCTAAATAACTTAACTGTGTGTATTGTGTGTGTGTGTGTGTGTGTGTGTACATGTATTTCCCTCAAAGAATTAGCGCAGGTGGTAAAGAATCTGCCTGCAATGTGGAAGACCCGGGTTTGACAATCCCCTGGAGAAGGGAATATCAACTCACTCTAGTATTCTTGCCTGGAGAACTCCATGGAGACAGGAGCCATGGCGGGCTACAGTCTGTGGGGTCGCAAAGAGTCAGACACGACTGAGCAACTAACACTTTCACTTTTCAGTTTCACTTTCTGGTCCATTCTTTCCCAATGAGAAAAACTAAGCCTCTTCTACTCAAGATCTACTAACACCATCCATCAACAGCCAGTGTCCACACACAAGTAACTGGAGGCCTCCAAGTTTTTCCAGGTTCTCCTCAAAAAGCTCTTCATCCCGTATCTCTTCCTTGTCATGGTGCACATGCTCTGAACACTGTCAGAACTGGGTTTGAAACATGACAGCTGGTTTAGTACCTATGCCCCAGGCCAGCTACCAGCCTCTCTGAGCATCAGTTTCCCTTTGGTGAACAGGGAGTAATAAGGGTGAACAGGGAGTAATAATAGGACCGACCTCCCAGGGTTGCTGTGACCATGCAGTTAGTCAACATATGCATTTGACGGGCTCAGTACTGTGACTGCAACAACAGGACCGGAGATTTAAGATCTGTTCCATAAATAGCTGTGCGTGTGCTCTGGACCAGCTGCCCAGTATATATTAACTATAATAAGTGTGTGTTATCATCATGTTCTAATGAGCTGAGAGCAGCCCAGCAGAATTTTTAACCAACACCACAGCAGTGAACGGTAATGACTTTTCCCTCTCAGAGAGGGTTTTCCTTTCTCCTTCCTAGACCCTGGTTTACCTGTCTCCCACCTAGAAACCCCGCCTTTCTGTTTCCTCTGTCCTGTCTGCAGTCTCTTACGCTAGCAGGGGCGAAGGTGAGTGTGTTGAGAGGAAGTTACGGGAAGGGAACGTTCCCTGTCCCACAGTGAATGCAGACAAGGCCGGCCCACCAGACTCCTGCTGGTCAGCAAAGAAGAGAGGGCTGAGTGGCTTGGGATGAGGACATTTCTACAGTCGTGAAGGTGTTGTTATTTCTGACTGAATGTGCTCGAGTGAGCTGACCAGGAGGGAGAACAAACATCTTTCAGCTATTTTTCACCCATCATGATGGTTTCTACTGGAGTTCAACATCTACTGTGAGTAAAAAGAGAACGTGACAAGGAAAACGTGTTTCCATGAAATTCAAAACGATGGCATGCGGGATTTAGCTCCCTGATCAAGGTTCGAACCCAAGCCCCCCTGCATTGGGAGCAAAGTGTCTTAGCCACTGGACCACCAGGGAAGTCCCTCCACTGACATTTTTTAAATCCTATATATCAAATAATAGGCAAATCTTGTAGCTAGGCACCTTAATGATAGTTTGCATTTTTAAGAAACAAACTGAGTCATAGCTTTCAGTTCAGTTCAGTCATTCAGTTGTGTCTGACTCTTCGTGACCCCACAAAGAGGGGTGGACTGCAGCACACCAGGGTTCCCTGTCCATCACCAACTCCTGGAGCTGGCTCAAACTCATAGAGTCGGTGATGCCATCCAACCATCTCATCCTCTGTAGTCCCCTTCTCCTTCTGCCTTCAATCTTTCCCAGCATCAGGGTCTTTTCCAATGAGTCAGTTCTTCGCACCAGGTGGCCAAAGTACTGAAGTTTCAGCATCAGCAATGCCTGGTCAAGCCTATGGGTCCCTAGAGGTGTTTCAATTCTTTGCACTTATCCATGTGAAAGAAACCATGAAAAGGGGAGACTGGGTAGCATCAGTCCTCACATCCATTTTCAAAGAAGCTTTTGGTTTCCCAAGATTTCAGAGCAGATTGGAATGTTCTTTTCAGTGAGTATAATGAAGTAGAGCCCACTCTTAGGAAACCCAGGTTTCTGAGGCATGACCACCGCCAATCAGAGCCCAGCAGGCCATGCCACCAACCAGGTTCTCATCAGTCCCAGAGACAGATTGAGCACACTCCTGCATCAAACCTTAAAGAATGGTGAGATGCAATCCCCCCATGCGTCCAGACCCTCCAAGCCGGGATCACTCTCAGGAGTGTTGGTCATTACAGTGGGGAAGGGACGAGCCTTTGCTGGGAAGGGTCAGGCTTTTCACTATGTAAACCTAATTCCACACGTTGGCTATAGCTGGGGAGGACAACACAACCATAATTAGCTTTTTGGTAAAGTTTACAGGTATGGAGCTGTTCAGACTCTATGATACATATAGTTATACTATTGTTCCATTTCTACAGAGACTCACAGTGTATTTTTAAGGTGACAGTGTTTAAGATAGAAAACCACCAGGATCGGAGTTTGGGATGGACGCGTACACACTGCTATATTTCAAATGGATAACCAACAAGGACCTACTGTATAGCACTCTGCTCAATGTTACACGGCAGCCTGGAAGGGAGGGGAGTCTGGGGAAGAATGGATACGTGTATATGTGTGGCTGAGTCTCTCCAGTGCTCACCTGAAACTATCACACACTGTTAATCAGCTATGCTGCTGCTGCTAAATTGCTTCAAGTCGTGTCTGACTCTTTGTGACCCCGCGGACTGTAGCCTGCCAGGCTCCTCTGTCTGTCCATGGAATTGTCCAGGCAAGAATACTGGAGTGGGTTGCCATGCCCTCCTCCAGGCGATCTTCCCGACCCAGGGATTGAACTTCAGTCTCTTCTGTCTCCTGCATTGGCAGGCGGTTTCTTTATCACTTAGCACTACCTGGGAAGCCCGTTAATCAGCTATACCCAAATGCAAAATAAAGTTAAAAAAAAAAAAAAGAAAACCACCAAGTTCAGAATTGACTTTCTCACTCCCAGTCCTGTTCTGAGTCTACCAGGTGCTCTGTCTGAAACGCACAATAGGTTCATCACATGCAATCAACAACAACCACACATTCAGCTTATGGAAAAGGATCAGAACAAACCTACCGTGCTGTCCTTGGGGACTTTCATCTTCCACACACCACCCTTAGCATTACTCTCCTCTTCCCTGGATCAAAAACCAACATTCAAAGTTACACTACTGGATGAAGTGGTCCTGCATACACCTAGGGTTAGGGTTAGGGTTATGACATTAAAAACAAAAGAAAAGAAAGGATCCCGCAATGAACTTCCCCACCCATCTGTTTTACTGGAAACTGAAGCAGATGAAAGAAAAAGGAAGGCAATGGAGATGGAGAGGGGAGTGGGATTCAGTGGCCAAAAGGGCAGGGAAGGTGATCATCCTCAAGGAAGGGTGCAGAGAGGCTCCCCAGAGTATCTGGGAGGGACTGCAAGAGCCTAACAGGGGTGAGGGCTTTTACATCTCCACATCATGTTCTTGACATCACCTCCTCTGACTGGCCTTTCAGCCCTGTGTCACAAGTCTAATGGGAGACTCAGCTCCTGTAGAAGGTATCTGCTGCTTCCCACTGTAGTAACTGCTCCCCCTTCTGGCAAGAGCACCCCAATCTCCCTTTAAGTAGCTTCCTGTCCTCTACCCTCCGTCAGACGTCAGACACTTTCTGATATGGCTGATTTCACACCCTAGCTTTAAAGAAGGGCTCATGACCCAGGTCTGCCCGTGAGAATGTTATCTCCTCCTAGTCTTTGTGGTTGGCCAGGGATGTTGGAAAGATGACCCACACGGGGCCAGAGAGAGCCTGCCCTGGCATTTTATTGGGGCTGGTGAATGCTGACATTGACGAACTTGCAGCGTGAAAGACTGGAGCCTAGGAAAGCCATTTTGTCACCTAAACGGCAGAACCTGCCTGAAAATTAAACCAAGGAAGAGGAAGGCAAAGCAAATCTGCTACAGAGTGTCAGAGTCCCAATAACAACTAAGCACCCAGATCTGCCCGAAATTAGCCCCATCACTAGACTATCTAGTTACAGAGGCCAAAAGATTCCATTTTTGGCTCAGTTTAGGTTTCTGTCATTAACTGTCAAAGAGTTAAGATACATTTCCCTTCCATTACTGAGTAAATGACTTAGAAGAGTCAAGGAACATGATACAAGGATTCACTATTAACTGGGATTCCAGCCCAGGGAAAGTGGCTTACTCTTCCCCACCCTCAACACTACCCCAGCTATTAACGAAGAAAGACAGCTTCCCCTTGACTGTGGGCCATGGCCACTATCATACATTTTCTATGTGATCCATGTGAGGTATGTCTGAGGGGATGTGATCTTTGTTCATGCACGGTTCCACCTTCCCTACAGCCTATAAGCTTTTTCATTGCACTGTCGGGTCATTACTGAACAAATGAAAGAAGAAACCCAAATGATGCTATGCCCCCAAACAAAGACCTGCATGGTCCCTTCAGTGAGTTACTGAGGACCTATTTATGGAGAGACTGTGGTGGGGTCCTTCATGGGCAGATGCTGAGACACCTGCTCATCATCCCGGGGTACAAGGAGAAAGGGATGGCGGGCAGGGCTTATTTCAAAACTAAATCATGGCAGCATCACTAGGAGAAAATTACTGTGGCATTCCAATTTGGCGTGAAGTTAAACATTTTATTAAGTTCACAATCATTTCCCTCCCACCATAACTGCGAATTATACAGAAGACACTTACCAGAGTGGTCGCCTCTCTCCTCTCATTAAATGATAACTGCATCTCAAAGGCAGGCTAGTCACAGGAGGAATATTATTGTACACACTCCAGAATATCTTTAAAAGAAAAACACTTCGTTTAATATATCCAGTATTGACTTACTATACTGCTAGATTACAAAACTAATGCATTAAAGAAAAAAATCAGGTTCTCATTAAGTCCTATCCATTCGAACTAGATTTTTCTCAGTATTCTTTGTAATTTTCTGCTAGGAAATGTAACATAACATTAAAGAATGTTCTTTTCCGAAGTCGGGCCAAGTTGTATGCTTCAGGAAACTATGGTTATTAAGCAACCATTCTTATGCAATGTGTCTCCACATAAAACTGGGTAAGGATCTTGCTAATGATTTTTCTGACACGTAGATGGCATATAATAAAGTCAGCAGTGCTGAATATATGTACTGAACCGTATTTCCTTGTAACACAGACTCTGTCTTCTAAGCCCAGGAAGAGTCTGTTACACTTCGGATTGGGGGAGGGGGTATGCAGGAGGCAAACAGGAAACTCCCCACTTCCTTTCCTCTCCCAGCAGGAAAAAGGAACTGCTCAGCTGCCAAAGCAGCAAGTTCCCCAAGATACAAGGTGTTATGAATTCCAAGTCTGTGTGCTCCCCAAACTCACAGAGTGATACCCAAGCCCCCACTGGGATGGTATTAGGAGGTGGGGTCTTTGGGACAAAATTAGGCCATAAGGATGGAACACCCCATGCACCATGATGTCCCGATAAGGAAAGGAAGAGTGTTCTCTCTACCATGCGCAGATGCAACGAACAGACGACTGTCTGTCTATAAACCCAATAAGAGTGCCTTCACCAGGACGTGATCATGCTGGCTCCCTGATTTTGGACTTTAGCATGAGAAATCATCTGAAATCAGCATTTGTTTTCGAATTCATCCAGTCTACAGTATTCTGTTAGAGCAGCTGGAACTAAGGCACATGGTAGCTGGGAGTCAGAAACAGATTACGTAAAAATAGTAGCGTAATAGTAACAATGAGAGTAACAGCAGGAATATTAATAGGGCCAGAATTTGGTCTCTGAACTTCTAAATGTTTACAAAATTTATCCTAATGACAATCTCAATAGAAGGTGTAATTATCAGCCTTGCTCCATGGATAAGGAAACTGAGGCACACAGACTAATCCCCCTGGTACAACTGCCAGGCTTAGGACAAAGATTGGGTGTACACAGGAGAGAACTCATCCCAAGGTGTTTGGAACAGGCCCAAGAATCACTGCACTGTGAACATATTTATGCAGAGAATCACTATACAAATGAGAAACAATATTTTGTGTGCTGAAGTTAAGTCAAGGAAGGCTGGGACTCCTAGTGGATCTGAGGAGAACAGAACAAGCAAAAGAACAGTTAGAAAAATGAATCCAAGGGTAGCATAGGTGAAATGACATTTTACCTATGCTGAACGACAATCCTCATCGAACACAGATAAAACAACCTTAGAGGATTGTTTCAGCCCGTGTTGTGTAAAAATTAAAGCTGGATTCATTTCAAGGCCAGCTATAATGAATGGTAAAATAAAAGTGAAGGCAAAAGAAACACACCCTACTTGACAACAGAGTTAATAAGAATACCTAGTGTCCCTTATACTAAATGGTGGGAATGTAGCAAGTAGCTGAAAATAACTCTGTAGGTCATCAAACAGATGTCTGTCTTTGTGGAGACACCTATCATATCAATGGTGTGCTATCAGTGCAGACAGTAAGATTATGCCAACATTTCATTTCTGGTCTGTGATATGGGTGTGAACAGGCAGCGCTAGAATTTGAGGCCAGGCATGTGGATCTAAAACCTGTCATCTTAACCACTCAGCAACTTCCCCCTCTGCAGACACTACGACCCATCTTAGGTGCATCTTTCTCCAATCCTAGAAGCCATGGAACAGGTCACGAGATAACAGAGTGAGGGGCACCATTGAAGACCATTTCCCACCAGCAGGTTCCCTTCATTACTGGCTATGCGGCTGCCTTAGCTCTAGCCTGGGACTTCCACAATGATATGGCAAGGACCCGTGCAGAATTTATGGACACATTTATGCTAGAGCGTAAATGCCTGCTTTCACCAAGATGACTTCAGACCTGGCAAACTTCCAGTCTCCTAAAAGGGATCCCAAGCTAGAACACCTGCCCTTGTACCCTGCCAAAGTTCTCAAATCTTAACTTTTCACCCATGTTTGAGGCACCATGGAAGACACAAAAAAATGCTTCTCCCATTCCAAACGTAAGCATGACACCCTAAGGATTGTGCCACGGCATGTGTCTTTAGAAGTTTCCTTGAAAACACAAATGGGCAACTGATTTTGTTAGTTTTGGCAAATCTGAGAGGAGACGATTATAGCCCAAGAAGATACAGTGAAAGACTTCACTCTGACCTAATGTACTTATTCAAGTCCATATTTGCATGTTTGTGCATGAACACAAAATGAGAGTGAAATATGTGGTGACTTCATTAAAAACAGCCCCATTAAAGTCCACAGCACAAAGTCAGTCTGTTTCCTTACTGCAAGCCTCACCCAGTGTGTGGACTACTCGTCAAGGATGTGTGATGGAGAAAGAGCTGGAGGAAGGAATCCAGCATCACACAGTTCGTTACACCTCCTCCTTTCCTGCGGAAGTAAAAGCACCATTTCACTGGAAGCTGGATAAATAATTCCTGGCCATGCTCTCCATAACACACTTTTATTTTTGTTGAAACATCTATGTTTTATCACTGACAGAACCTTGCAAATAGATTTCAAAAGCCTGTAGACTTAGAATTAATTCTAACTGGCCTGCAAACAGTATATTACAGTGGAACTAAGCACAGTATTGATTAAAAATGATGAAGTGTTCTTTTTTTTTCCCCAAAAACTTGATAACTGGAGGAGAGGTAGGGAAGTCCAACATCATTTATTCAGTCAACATGTGCAGACATCAGTGAGGGGCAGGGTGCTGTGATGAGTCCCAAGAGTGGTTAGATTCACTAGACAATGGTGTCCACTTGATAAATCCCCAACCTACTAGTTCTGATTGAAGCAATTACGCTCCTCCTGACAGTTTTTTGCCAAATAGATCATCAATCATTGCCAAGAAAATTGACAAATTTCCTCCTCAGTGTTTTACTGAATGTTCTGAAGAAAAAAAAAGAGAGAGAATAAACTTGAAAATGCTTCAGAAGAAAAAATGCCACATGGTGACAGACAACATGGTTTACAAAAAAAAAATTCTAGCAAATACACCTCCAAAGGAAAAAAAAAAAAAAACACCAAATCCACAATTTCTTCTGAGGGTTACAGCATATAGATCTTTGAAAGTATCTTTAAAATTTTAAACAAACATTTTTATTCCTTAGGTAATTCTAATTGGCTGGGGCTTGCATCCCACCAACTGAATCAATGGTGTTTATGGAAAGGGCAGACAGAGCCCAGAAGAAAGAAGGCAACTATACAGAGCCTAATAGATGTTTTAAAATCACAGCAGACACAACAGGCTGAAAGCAAAGTGCTTCTGACTTGGGAAAGCTAGGTACTTGAGACAGCAATGGGTTTTGCTTTGAATTCCAAAGGGCTTGACTTAAAGTGAGAACCAAAGTTTGGAGGACTGACGGGGAGTAGGGAAGATGAAGGCTAAGATCAGGGCAATTTCCCACCATGCAGGAAGTCAATTAATGAAAAACAAAGTCTGAATTAGGGAGTTAATGGGGTTCAAACATTGAGAGAAACAGAAAAGTCGTGCTAAGTCAGACATGACTGAAGTGACTTAGCATGCACATATATGCTTATGAAGACCTTCATTTACAATAAACAGTGCTGGACATTCATTTACAGAAGAAATGTGAAGTTTCTGTTTTCTTTAAATTTAAGCAAAATGTCCCTCAATTTAAAGGACCACTGAGTAGGACACAGAACAAGGAGACACAGCGTGGCAACACCTTAAAGGTGATACCTCTAAGGCGTTACCACGCCCTTGGACTGCAAGGAGATCAAACCAGTCAATCCTAAAGAAAACCAACCATGAATGCTCATTGGAAGGACTGCTGCTGAAGCTGAAGCCCCAGTACCCTGGCCACCTGATGCAAAGAGCTGACTCACTGGAAAGGACCCTGATGCTGGGAAGGACTGAAGACAAAAGGAGAAAGGGGCAGCAGAGATGAGATGGCTGGACAGCATCACCGACTCAACGGACATGAATTTAAGCAAACTCCGGGAGATGGTGGACGACAAGGAAGCCTGGCGTGCTGCAGTCCACAGGGTTGGAAAGAGTCAGACACGACTGAGCAACTGAACAGCAACAAAAAGTGGGTTAGAATGCTGTTCTGGCATGGGTTTTCAGGGCTGAAATTTTGGTCCTGTGGCAGCAACAGAGCCCGCCCCTGCAAACTGCATCTGGCTGGTAGCTCTCTCCCATCAAGCTTGTTCAGAAGCTGTCTTCTATTCTGTGCTGCATCCGTTTAGGACATAAAAACACAAGAGAAATGTGGAAAATTTGGAAATGTTTACACAAGAGTAAAAGGAATCAATAGGCTGTCTGGAAAACACATCTAAATGAAACATGGAATTTTCCAAGAAAGGCAGTAAAGTAGGAAATAAATTTAACTTCAAGCAGAGGGCATTATTGTTGGCTGTGATGACAGTGTCCTTAGCAAGGGTCACCGGGCCGGCTGGAGGCACAGGCCTCATCCATCTACTCCTCGGTCAGGGAGGAGCAAAAGCAAAAGGATGGACCCAGAGGAGGAGGGACTTTCAGTCCCAGAGACATAGCATGATTGACTGTTTCCACCACATGTTTCGGGCCACTAACCTCCCAGACTCAGTCCCTCCAGCTAGTCAACAGGGATAACAAATTCTCTTCTACCTCCATCTGCATCTCTGATTTGCTGAAGGCCTCAAAGTACAAAAAGACATACTACGTCCTTACAGAAAGCAATCAATAATAACACATGACACTTCATTGCATCTCAACACAGATGAAGGAAAAACAGACATAATTAGGGATGTAAATTTTTTTAGTACTGACAGAGTGACTACTCAAGAATAAACCTACAATCATGGAACAAAAAGAGAGTAGGGCAAAAGCATATTCCCAAATGATTTTAAAATCAGCACCCAGGCTAGTTCTCAAATACTAAAAACTACTCACAGATATTAAGGATACAGGCTGAAATCCCCACACCTGTTAAACATGTTTTCATTAAGTAGAGGTATTTGCAGTGGTATCATCTGGGGAATAATTGCCTGAAATCATCTAGAAGCAGTGGTACACAGGAAATTTAAAACATGACTGAGATTCAAAAAGATACACGCACCCCAGTGTTCACTGTGGCACTAGGCACAACAGCCAGGACGTGTCCATCGATGGAGGAATGGATAAGGAAGATGTATACATATACAATGGAGTATTACTCAACCACAAAAAATTGAAAGAAAAAAAAATAAGACTGTGCCATTTGAAGAGACACGAATGGACCCAGAGACTGTCATAGAGTGAAGTGAGTCAGAAAGAGAACAACAGATATTGTATATTAATGTATCTACGTGGATTCTAGGAAAATGATACAGATGAACCTATCTGCAAAGCAGAAATAGAGACACAGATGTAAAGAACAAACGCATGGCCACCAAACGGGGAAAGGGGGCAGGGTGGGATGAACTGGGAGATTGGGACTCACACAAATACACTACTACGTATAAGATAGATAACTAATGAGAACCTACTGTAATGCTCTGTGGTCACCTAAATGGGAAGGGAATCCAAAGCAGGATATATGTACACATAGAGCCCACTCACTTTGCTATACGGCAGAAACCAACATGACACTGTAAAGCAACTACAGGCCAATACAATTTAAAAAAAACGATCGTGGAAAGTACAAGATGATGTTCCAACAGAAGTTGAGAAATAATGGCAGATGAATTTGTTACTATTATCAGGCACTTACTATGTGCTTTTAAGTCCTATGCTATTTCATTCTCACAAACTCATGATACAACTTGTATCAGATTATTCCCATCTTGGAGATAAGTAAACAGATACAGAGAAGCCAAAGAACTAGCCCAAGCTACTAAGTGGAAGATATGAGATACAAACCCAGGCAGTGTGACTACCCTACACCCCAGCCCACATCTTCCCCGGTCAACTGATAAAATTAAAGGGTAGAACTGTCGGGTTCTACTCTTATTACAAAAGTGTTGGCTTTTGTAAAAGCTGTTGACAGGTGAGGGCTTATGAAGTGCCAAGCACTACTAAGAGCTATGCAATCTCACTTAATCCCTTATTCAACCTTAGGGAGTAGAACTGCTATTATCTATGTCAGTTTTACAGACGAGGAAATGGAGGAGGACAGACACATCAGGCATAGGACAGAATTTCCTGACCTCTTAGGGCAGGGTTTCATTACTACCCCACTATCTGAAGGAGTTCTGTTCCTAATCACTTTACTGTGAAACTCTGATACCACCGAAAGACTGTGCATCTGTATATGTACTGTATGCGTATCTGTGCTTTATATAGGAAAACAGTACAATCATTTTTTGCCCTACCAAGAATCAGTTTTTGCTCGCATTGAGAATGTGTGACGAACAGCTTAATGGATCCTTAAGCAAGCAGTCTGCTGTGACTCAGGTAAGTGGTTCATTTATTAATTCCTCATTTACTGATTTGATCCTTCAGTATTTATGAAGAGAAAGGAATCAGACACAATACACAATACTGTGTGATTCCATTTATATGAGGTTCAATAAAAGACAAAACCAAGGCATGCTGACAGAAATGTGAGTAGTGATTGCTTCTGGAAAAGAAGGACCAGAAGGCAAGGGCATGAAGGAACTCTAAGGCAGGATGAAAATTTTTTATTTTGATCCTGGTGATAATTACATGCTTGTGTATCTCTGCCAAAATTTATCACACTATACACTTCAGAAACCTGCTAAATTATATCCCAATAAAGTTTATTTGAAAGTATTTCCTAGTATGTGCCGGCCTGGGAAATTTAAATTGGTCCCTGAAGGCCCTATGTCACTTGCTACCAGATATCAAGGCTCAACCAATGCTCTGTTATCTTCGCACAGGGTCAGGGAAACAAACTGATCCCTCAGTGTGACTGTACCAATGTCTTCCTGGAATCCCAGGCACAGTTCTGATGATCCAATGTCATAAGAGTGTGGAAAAAGTCTCAAGAGGACCTCAAAAAAATAAATAAATAAAACCAGCGGGCTCTAAGAACTTCTACAGGAGGACAAGTTTAGCATCAAGTGCTCGGAGCTTTACACAGCGGCCCCGCGGAGAAGTGACAAGGCCCGTAATGTCACCACAGGGGGAGGAAGCAGTAGCCTTTCCCAGACTCAGAGCATCTGTCCCTCTGGACAGGGGCCCATGTGCCGCTGTGACACTGTTTGTACTTGGCACTGGTTATTCACAGCAGCTCTGTTATTCTGCTTTCCACACGCTTATGTCGTTTTCTCAACTAGATCAGAAACGGCCTATGGTTGGGGCTGTTTTTACACCCAACTTAGGGTCTTCTGTGGCTGGCAAGTCACTTACAATCGGATCCCTAAGCCCTACATTTTCTGAACCAGATAGGCGGGAAAGCATCTGAATATAGGCTGTGCTACTGTGAGAGGCTGCCAGGGAGACACAGTCTAAACACCAGTGTATTGAAATTTCTAGGACATTAAAAGATTTAGGGGGCAGAACACACAAATGATTTAAACTGGGCCTTCCAGAATACTCAGGACATATAGTCAATGCAAGTATGAAGCAGGCCTAAAAGCCTTATTTTGTGTTCAACAATGTATTAAAACTAGAAAAGGGCGAAAAACTTGATAGAATTTTCCTTGGAACAAAACAGTAATGTAATCAACTAAATAGACCAGTTTTTTTTTTTTTTTTAATGTTCATCCTAAGAGTTGGATAGAGAACGAACTAAGAGCTCTAACAGCCTACATTGTTGTTGGGTTTCCCATGAAACCTGGTAAAGACATCATCTTATTCAATCCTCACAATCAGCTATGGAGGCAGGTGCTACACCAGTTTCACAGAAATTAAAGGGCTGACACTCGCCCAACTTAGGACGATGGAATTCGAACACAGAAGTAGCAAACAGGTCTGACACCTTCCACCTTCTTGCTCAACACTGTCCTGTCCTCCCAACGTGACCCGTGACCTTCTTGTGATAACCCTGCGGGTGGTGCCAGGACCTCTCACTGATGGCAAATGGAGCCCAGGGAGGGAACGGCTGAGCTGGTGTTTGAATGGGACACAGCCTGATACCTTCAAGACAACGCCCCAGACTGCTGTTGGTGAGGGTCTGGGAAACACTGAAGTAGGGATAACATCCTCTAGGTCACCAAGAGAAGCGCAGTGTGATCAGCTGCCTCTGGGGCAGACACGGCTGAGGGAAGCTCTGCTGGAATGAACCTGAGGGCCGGGGCCGGGGCAGAGTCAGGGTGGGCGCTGCTAGCATAGCGGCAGGTCTCAGGTGGGGCGAGCAAGCTTCCCCCAACAGCAGGTCTCTTGGTCTTACCTGTACTGTTGGTACTGTGTAGATTTTCTTCAGATTTGATGCGCACTCGGCCGCTGTGGCACCAGGGAGGGATCTAGGCAAACAGAAGCCAAAGAGCAAAGAAACAAGGAAAACAAGGAGTCAGTGTTCATGAAACAGTCCACAATGTTAAGTCTGCAGGTCTGCCCACCAGCCGGGTCTGAAACCGCAGAAGCAGACACGTCTGGGATGCTAGTTAGAATTTAAAATGTGGAACTCCCACTTTGTCAAGTCAGGTGCTTGCTTCTCCTAAAAACCAGCATATTTACCCTGTGGAAATTTAACAGGAAAAGTGGAAATGTAAGTGAGAAAGGTATTCGAAACCTTAAAATCACAGTCTAAGAAAATACTAAAATAACCATGTGATAACTGAGCCTTTTTTGTCAAGGACTTCGAACAGGAAACCAGGCCTGTTGTACACACGACAATGACAGTGCGTGGTCCTCATCTGGTTATGCGTTTGAAAAACTTGTTAGTTCCCTGGTGGTAAATAGTCATGAACTCTTGAGAAACGGGCTGACCTTTTGCCAACGTTAAGAAAACACGATTACTCAAAGTCACTCCGACTTTCTGTTTCACCTGAATTTGCATGTTTCCAAAATACTTTTCAGTTCTTTTCTCCGGCTGATGAAATTAGCTCTGGTGAACCCTGCAGTCGGAATACATTAATCTTTAGTTTGCCATATGTTCCACTAGATGGCAACACACTACAGGCTTACTCACCAGAAGAGCCATCCACTCCTGGCTTTACCCAGCACTGTGTCATGGGTCAGGGGTAACAGCGCACGTGTCCATCTATTTGCAGAAGTGAAGCCTCTTCAACCCGGCCATCTTTCCTTTCTCCCTACACTGAATTAGCGGGTCTTGCTCAGAAAAGTTCAGGTCCAGCTACATCATGCCTAAGATTTAAAAATTCAAGTCATGCACCACAGCCCCGTGTCTGATTGATGGTAAGAACTAAGTCTTGTGGTGAGGAGCATGCACTGGTTCCCAGCTGACCCATGAGAGTCTGGAACCTATAAAAAGAATGCTCTTTACCAGTGCTGACCCTCTGAGAGGGGACTTCAAGATGCTGAACTTCCCAGCTAGAAATGTGCCCCAAACTGACCCAGCTCAGAGGTGCAGGGGATGGCAGAGCAGAGGGTCCCGCCCAGCTATGGGGTGAGCATCAGGCACCAGGGGGCCGAGCTCTGCAGACGACAGTCCAGGAACTATGGGCCAATCATGCGGACCTGGGTGTCAAACCTGATATTAAAAAACGCACTTCTGCACACAGCTCCCCAGCCTGGAGGTCAGAAGGAAGCATAGTTACGGACTTGTGTGGGGGCGAACAAGGGACCCTGGTGAACAGGTAGAGCCCATTAAGTAAATCTTCCCCAAAGCGCCAGGTGTGCGACTCTTTTCTAGTTATCATGAGTGCGTTGGACACTGTTTGACAAAAGCAAATCTACAATAACCACCATGATTGCATTTTCTGCCAGACTGGAAGCCTAAAATAACCCTGTTGTTACCACACTACACTGCCCTACAGAGTGTAGTGAAGAGAAAGGACTCGATCAGCACCTGCAGCAACGGTGCCTGGCCCACGATGCCTCCATTTATTTGCGCTGCCCAAGGAACTGAAGGACTGACTTAGATAAACACTGAATTGCTATTTAATACAAGTTTGAGGCTTCCTCTATGTGCTTAGCGATGCAGGAGATGCAGGTTCGATTTCCTGTGTCAGGAAAATCCCCTGGAGAAGGAAATGGCAACCCACTCCAGTATTCTTGCCTGGAAAATCCCATGGACAGAAGAACCTGGCGGGCTACAATCCATGGGGTCATAAAGAGTCAGACACCACTGAAGTGACTTAGCGCACACACACATGCTGTTTGAGGCTGAAATTTCAAAAGAACTGCGTGAAAACACTTAAAAACAAAATCCAAACTTTAACCTTTTTTGAACAGATTTTCCCATGAACAATCTACCGCTTTTATAGGAAAATTTACTGGCATTTATTCTAACAATGACTTTTCTTCCTTTGAAGAGTTTAGCTGACGTCTCCACTAACTATTCCCAGCAAATATATCCCTGACTGCCCAAGGCACAGAGCAGATCATGTACAGGTTCTTTCCTTAATGGGGTGTGGGCAAAAAGTGAAGGTCCAAAGGTAGGAAAATGTACTAAACAATTTTTTCATTTTTAAAACTGTGCGTTTTGAATTTTTGCTAACTTCTAAAGTTATCATTCAATTTATGATGGTTTAGAACGAGTTATAATTTGAGTTAGAATTCACCTCGTACAGCCTGATGTCAATTTAAGCAAATACAATGTGAGGATATCACTATTTAACCTAGAAAAAAAAAAATCAGTGATAAACCTTTGCTTTATCTGTCTCTTTCAAAATGCCTCTGTCTCCACGTTCTGGTCTTTTACTCATATTCTAGTACAGAAGACAATTACACAAAGCTCCACTGCTCAAGTTTTTCGAAGAAATCTAATTTCTAGAGTCTGAGAAGGGCTGCATCATGAGAGGACGAGGCAGCGCTTCTCAGGGCGTGACGATGATGTCAGGGGCTGGGGTGTGTGGGCTCAACTCCTGCTTACGTGATAATAAGCAAGTCACCTTCACTACATTGCCGAATCCCTGCCAGCCAATGTACTCAGAGGTCATTATTACTTGTCACCATCTTACAGGTGAGCTGCCCAGTGCCTGCAGAGGTTTGGAAATGTGCCCCAAGCCACAAAAACCTCATCTGAATACAGGTAACCTGAGATTTCCTGCTCTCTACACCCTCACTCCTAAACTGTCCAGTTATACCATCTACACACTTGTATTCTTAATGGAGTTTCACAAATGACTCTTGGTGTGTTCCCATCAAGGCTGTTTTTGCTGAATGCTGTAATACTTTTAATACAAGACTGTGTCCATATTACTTTCTTCGAACAGTCTTTGCAATAGAGCAGGGTAGAGAAGGTCCTCGCTAAAAGCAATAGGATCATGTGCAACAAAAGCTCTATTCTGATTAATACCTTAGGGTGCTGATGCATTGGTGCTTGAAAGGAAAAGTGTCAGCTTCTATGGAAGCTGAGTTTTCTAATTTCCTAACGAAGGAGGTCAGATTCTCTGATTTTCAACATTCTTTCCAGCTGCTGGACAGCTTTATGAATACCCAGGTGTCAAAGTAAGAAAACAACGCTTCTGATAGTAGCGAATTGGCTTAGCCAGATAAGAAAAGTCACTCTTCTGTAAGCCAAATTTGATCTGGACAGTCACCAGAAAGCCGACACTTCATGCCTGAACCTCAGCTATCTTTAACAAACAATACTGGGCGAAATATCCACAGAATCGATCTTAAAAAGGCCAACTGGCCAAGATGTGTAAGTGATCTGCCTTGTAAACAGGTTAGTCTGTACTGGACTTGCTGATTCCAAATTGAACTGGAAGCCGTACCATCCAGAGTTACTGTTTCTTTAAGCAGCAGTTACAGGCGGTTCCTGGCACCGCCTCAGCCCAGCCCGCACCTTCTCTTCCCACTTCCTCTGACAGACAGTTGCAGCAGCTGGAAGGGAAGTATCTGTAGTGGATTTCAATGAAACTTTTTTTTTTTTTTGTTCTCTCACACATAGTACATTTTCACATCTTGAAACAAATCTTTTTGCTTTATTCACGTTACAAAAACCCGAACCTCTCAACAGAACCCCAACCCAAACCCCTCTGTGGAGACCAAGGGTGCTCCTCTAAGGGTGATGTGGCCTCTGGAGAGAAGGTTTTTGGCAACATCCAGAGACATTTCTGGCTCTTACAACGGGGAGCGGGCTCCTGGCACTGAGGGGGTGAGAGCCAGGGCTGCTCTGGACCCTCCCACGGTGGGCAGGACCGCGCCCACAACGAAGACGATCAGGTCCAAACTGTCAAGAGTCCATGCCCAGAAACCCTGCCACAGACGTATAACAAACAGCCTGAGAAGACACGATTTGTTCAATCAACAAAGGTTCATCGCACACCTCTTTTAGCTGACGGGGGTACAGCAGTGATCAGTCTAGACAAAGTCCTTGTCCTCATGGAGTGTGTGTTCTAGAATTAGGCACCCTTGCCTCTCTCAATTCCCCAGATATCCGAAGGCAACGAAATAACATTTAGATCCTTTGCAGGGTTGGGGGTGGGCCTGGGAGGCAGGAAGTGGCAGAAAAGGTTGAGAAAGAAATATACACGTTGACTATGTCCATTTCTAGAAGGCCATACAAATAAAGCTGTGGAAAATCACAGAACCAAGGAGTCAGGACTTATTTTCACATTCTTTAAATACTACATCTGCCCCCCCACAGTATACAGCCTGAGCTGAGAATGCAGCAATGGAACAATAAATGTCTCCTGGATGGATCAGGTCAAGGAGTCTGAATTGTTTCACTAGAAGTTACCCTTGTGATTTAATGACAGTAATGTAATAATTTCTTCCTGTTATGGAGCCTGTACTATATGACAGGGCTTTGCATATATAGATCTCTATTCCTTATAGCAATCCTGCCAGGGTACTGGTACCACTGTTTCCATGTACAGAGTTCAAAACTGAGTGTGTTGTTAAGTAGCAGATCTGGGTTCCTCTCCTGGTCTCTCTGGCTCTGATGCCCAGGATCTTCCTCTTGGATGAGTCTGCTTCTCAGTAAAAAACAAGCAGTCATTGTCCACACTGGTAGTCACAGATAACACATCTTAGGGCAATCCCCTCTCAGCCCTTCTTAGATGACCTGCTCCCTCCTTGGGCCCACCCACTGCTATCGCCCATGATTCTCCCCTCTGTCACCACCTATGGAGCCACACTGCTGGGAGGGGATCAGACACACACAACACGGATCGATGTCACCAGGATCCCTGGCAACAATGATATCCCAAAATGGGATACAAGGAACATAACTCAGGAGGAACACATCTGCAGGTCATCATTTTAAGATACTTTGCCAAACAAGAGTTGGAAAGCAGAGGGGTTTGAAGTCGGCAGATCTGAGGTCCCAGCTCGGCCGCCCACCAGCTGTGTGATGAGCCTGACTCTTCTGATCCTCGCTTCCCCTTTC